TGCATAATTAAATAAATAGTATATGAATTAAAATATAAACTAATAGAAAATTTTCAAATTTTCAAAATAATTTAAATAGCATAATTTCATATTGTTATGCATCTGCAAAAATATCTCGATGTATGATCCCACTTTTCAATTTTACAACTACAAAAAATAATAAAAAATAATTAGTACAATAAAATTTATTCAAATAATCATATATAAAATAAATATAAAAAAATAAAAAAATAGTTTTACCTTACAACAAAAATAGAAGGAATTGATAAAAGTAAAAACAAGCAATTAATTTTGGTGTATAGTTTGCATTCAGAGAGATTCTTATTTATAGGGGAGGGGGAGGTTTAAAAGCTGAGCTGCTCAGGTAATAATGGAGTATCAATAATTCAACGTGCATAATGGAAGGCACAAATCATTATCCACGACTTACGTACGTGTCAGAAATCCACGAATGCGTGGATCGCCATCCGCACCTTACCTTACTTGCGCCAGCTCGGATAGAACCAGATACAGCGCGGATCGCCATCTGTGTCTTTCTTTACGTAGCACCAGCTCGGAGAACCCTGCAAAGATGCGGATGACGATCTATACTTTGTCAAAAAGAATGTTAGATCGATAATATTAAGAGAGATAATGCTTGACATGTAATTATTAGGTTCGGTAAAAAAAGCCGGGTTTTAATGTGAACTTAATAAATTATAATGTGAAGCCAAATGAGGTAGGAGAAAAATGCACATTTGCTTACAATTGTAGAAAAATAAATAGGAAAAAGTCTGCACAAATGCAAGCCATTTAGGTTTGTAATGACGGAGGCCCTTAGCCTGTCACCGAGGAACTGCAAAATCTGGTTTAATAATTAAAGTAATAGGCATAATTATACAAAAGGTGTCCAACCTATGCCCATTTTTCTAATTTAGTATCTAACGTTTATTTTGTGTCAGTTTGATACCTAATATTTCATTTCATTACTCAAAATGAGTTAAACCGGTACGGACCATAAGTTTGGTTGTTAACCCAATTAAAATACCACCTGACATATTTTTTAATAGAAAAATTCTACCACGCTCGACGAGCGACGATGAACACCATTAACGATGAACAATGATAAATTAATTTATAAAATTTAAAATTCTAAATGGCTCAACGAATAATTATAAATTAGTTAAAAATTAAAGTTAAGTTATTCAAAATAAAGGATAAACTATAACAATGACCACCTAAATATTATCCCTTTTCATTTGGACCACTATTTTTGAAATTTTATCAATCAGATCACTCAACTATTTAAATGTATTTAATTAAACCACTTGCCGTTAATATTTAATGGAGAAGCTGATGTGACCGTTAAAATATTTGGTATAATTACACATTTGATCAATGTTACTTATATATTCTATCAATTTGATCCTAATTTTAATAAATTAAAATAAACTTAACCCTCAAAGTGAAGAGAACATTAACATAATTTTTGGAGGAAAAATAACTTGTAAAAGGAAAGTCACATAAACATCGAGGACTTAACATAATTTTTTTTATTAAACTAAGGTTATTACGACGAATTAATATAATTATCATATTAATGAGCAAAAAGAAAAAATGAAAAAAGATATCACCCAAAGCATGATGAATGCAGCATACAAGTAACCATCATATATTTTTTTTGATGAGTCCCACACATCCCTATGAAAAATGGGGGGGAAACTATCGAGATTAAGCTTGATCTCACTTCAATTAATTGAAGGGTTTTCTTTTCTTTTCTAAACCAGATATACTTCTTCAAACTTTAAGATTGTGGACTGACTTTAAAATTTTAAAAGCGGATACTTACTTTTTAGAAAATATAATTTATTCATTCTGAAAAAGAGTAGGACTACATAAAGAAAAAGTAAAATTAAAGTCATATATTTTAAAAAAAATAAAGATAAAAATAAATTTTATTATTAACGATAAAAATAAACATAATTAAGATTAAAATAATAATAAAATATGATAATACATTAATAACTTATTTTATCACAATCATATCATACATTAAGATTAGGGCTGCAAATGAGATGAGACAGATCGTGAGCTACTCGAGATCGACTCGGTCAAGGCTCGATAAATACTCGGATCGAATGGACTCGAGTTGAGCTCGAGCTCGATTCGAATTCTTAACGAGCCGAAATGAGCTACTTGATACTCGACTCGAAAAGCTCGTGAGCAGCTCGAAAATATAATATATTAAGATTTTATTTTTTTTAAAAATAAATTATTAATAATATTAACATTTATGTGTTGATTGTTTTTAAAAAATACAGTAAAATTTTCATGTATTTAAGATTCATGTTCGAGTTTGAGTTTGAGACTTCAATCAAGTTAAGTTTAAGATTTTTTTTCATTTCGAGCCTTTTCGAGCTGCTCACGAGCTTCAGTTCAGGATTTCGAGTTCGAGTCGAGCTTAAAAATTTTAAGCTCGCGAGTTTTCGAGTCGAGCTCCATTTCAGAGTTTTCGAGTCGAGTCGAGTCGAGCTCAACAATACTTGAGCTCGACTCGGCTTGTTTATACTCCTAATTAAGATTGTCGATGATTCTTCCACATTAGTGACCAAATTGGTAGAATATATAAGTAACAATGATTAAATGTGAAATTATACTAAATATTTTAACTGTCACATCAGTTTCCCCGTTAAATATTAACGACAAGTGGTTTAATTAAATGCATTTAAATAGTTAAGTGACATGATTAAAAAATTTCAAAATAGTGGTCAAAATAAAAAGAACAATAGTTAGGTGATCAATTGTATAATTTACCCTTTATTTTAAATAATTTACCTTTAAACTTTCAACTAATTTATTGTTATACGTTGAATATTTTATAATTTTAAGGTTTTATAAATTAATTTATCGGTGTTCATTGTCACCCATCGAACGTAAAAAAATCTATCTTTTTTAATATTAAATAAACGATAACGCCGTTAACCCATTAAAAAAATATTATATTTGAAAAAATATATATATATTCAAAAAAACACCCAACCCCCCTCCCCTCCCCTCCCCTCCCCTCCCTCTCACTCTAACCCAGGGTCTTGAAAGTTCCCACCATTTCAATCTTAGCTCTTTTTGAAGTATATTCAACCCCTAACTAATTGTAGGGAGTGAGAATAGGTTGGGTGTTGATATCTTCTCTCTTTGTCTTAGTTTATTCTAAACAAACTGCTAACCAGAATCAATCACTTGGGTTTGAGTATTGTGTTTTAGCAATGAAAATGGGTATACAAGTTTATCGTATGTTGTAAGAAGGAATTGAGGAATTAAGGATTCGGAAATTTGCAGAGATATGCAAGAGGATGATGGGTATATATAACTTTCCAAATGGAGATTTTGATGACGAGCGAGGGTACGTTAGCAGATTCATGCTTTTTTTTTTGTTTGTTTTTGGTCTTCTTTCGGCGCACTCCTCCTCCTTGGGTGCGACGCTGCTATTCTTGGCCGGGTTAACCTTGACCGGCACGGTGCTTGCCTTGATAATGGTAACGCCGTTGATCGTTATCTTCAGCCCTGTTCTAGTCCCGGCGGGGATAACCATATTGTTGGTGGTAACTGGGTTCTTGTTTTCCGATGGGTGTGGGGTGGCGACGATCCCGGCGTTATCAATTTTTAATATTAGAAAATATGCCAGGGGCATTTTTAATGGATTAATTGTTAAATTTAACAGCCCTTATGATTTAACCTATTTTAAGTGACAAAATCAAACGTTAGATATAAAATTAAAATAAAATAAACGTTAGTTATTAAATTGAAAAAACGGACATGCTTTGATAAATAATATTTATGATAGGTGCAGAAGGACAAGCTCAGCAACTTGGGAATGCTTTGATAAGTGAAAATAATTTTTCACTTTATAAACAATCCTAAACACTTCAAAATTTGTTCGAAAGAATAATATGAAAAGTGATTTTTCATCTTAATCTGAAATGATCAAATATTTATTTTTTACTGAAAAATTATTGTTCAGGTAAAATTAAATTACTTAATTTTAATTAATTTTTAAATTAAAACACATAGATGTATAATTATTTATTAATTATTTTTAATGTTTGAATTGATTGTTAGACATAAATTAATAGAATTTAAAAGATATTTTCCCACTTTAAGTACATATATTATTATTTTTTGTTAAAATAAGTATCTAAATTACTTTTTCTCATGACTTTGTCTTGACTAATGCATGCAGATCCATGTCGTACATCTAATTTTGGTAGATGAATCTCCCAACGAAGATTTTCTTAATAAAACATTTCATATATAAAAATATTACTAATGAGTTATCATAAAATATTTTATATTTTCATTATAATTTAAGTTGATATATTTCAAATATCATAATATTAATAAATATAAATATGATTTAAATATTATATTTTTAATTTATAACATAATATCTAAAATTTACGTTTTATCTTTTCAAAATCAAATTTTAACTACAATAGCAAATAGTTAAATTTTAAACTACACATTTAAAAAATTTCTTAAAAGTAATTTTTTTATTAAATCATTTTTCAAAAGTAATACTAAACTGATAAAGTACAGAATTATAGAAAAAGTCCAAAGTGAAAAACGTCATAAATTTTGTGTATAGAAGACCTTGGGGATTTTTGGAAATATTTTTGAGTTTAGAGGACCTTTTAAAGGATCATATTCTTATATCGATCTTCTAGCGTGCATATAAGAAATTTAAGACCGACGAGCATCACTGAGGACTGATGAACAAGTATCCCGCTACGAGCATTGCACAGTGAATCCTCCAAAGCATAAAAAAAGGCCTAAAATCAGATTACATCATATAGAAACAACAGGAAGAAGAATGCCCAAAATATGTCGCAAATGTTGAATTAGCAAACTTAAATGATCTTGTCATTTTTCATCACTCAAATTGAAGCTGAAAAAGTTTCACTCTTCCAGAAATTTCTAAACCAAAGACCCTACGCTTTCTTTGTTCCTTGAAGGATCCAGCTCTGTCACAAAGGAGTTGCAAGTCCTATTTCATGAAGTAGAGAATCAAGTTAGAACAGCTATGTTTAATGCACTGTCTCAATATATATATATATATATATATATATATATATATATATATATATATATATATATATATATATATATATATATAATGTATGTACATATAATTGTTGATATTTGATGTCACTAGAAGTAAGTCTAGCACCCTACAAACGTAGATCACCAGAAACTATAACATACTTTTACGTATTAAAAGTCTGGGTGATTACAATATAATATTTGTTCAGAATTTTCTTAATCAACTGACAATACACACACCCTGCAAACATAACTATTTAAATTGAGGACTTCTAGGAAGATCAAAGAAATTTATTTGGAGATTGAAAGCAGTATGTTACTGAAAATTACGCAATGAAATTTATTTGTTGATTGGGTATTCTAATCACTTAAATTATTAAAAAAAAATATGCATGTAAAACTATATTTATAAATACCGAAATCTCAATATTGCTATTACAAGAATTAGATATTTTAAATCCACAAAATAGCACAAATATAAACAAGGTATGAAAAGTAACATAAACGCAACATGTGTTAGAGTCATATACTCATAGTTCTTTTCAGTATACATGTATATATAGATTTGGACAAAAATAATGGTGTTTTATGTAGGTTTTATAACAAACTAATTTATTTATATTATTTTCCATATTGGGATCGAGTTTTATAACAAATTATAAAGTTTAATTAATTACATTTAAATAATTTTAAATTTTATCTCATGTATCATTTAATAGATAAAGATAAATTTATCATAAATTATAAAATCAAAAGCAAGCATACTCACAATGCATATTAGAATTCCAGAAACATAAAGTCTTGAATATATGTCAAAATCACTTAAGCTTTGAATAAAAATCCGAAATATGAAATTTGGACCTGGATTTTGGCTTGGAATCAAAGATGGGAGTGAGTCAACTTTGGAAAGTTTTAAACAAAAGGAAGTTCCTCCGTTTGCCAAACTTATGTAGTGACATAAAATCTAACAAAAGTTTTCTTCAGAACAATGTTTCATTAGGAATGTTCAAGATTCATTTCTTTCTAAAAATGAATTCTCAAATTTCATAAAATCTAAAGTTATATTTTGAATGTTCAAAATTCATCTTCAAAAAAAGATAAAGTACAAAAATGGTCCTCGACTACAGGGCATTGTTTTGTTCAGTTTTTTAACTATTAAAAGTTACAAAATAGTCTCCGACTATAAAACGTTGCTTTGTTTAGTCTCTCGATTACTAAAATTTACAAAATAATCATCTGACTATTCACATGTTCCCATAACCGTTTGAGTGTGTAGTCATTTGAAATTATGAGATCATATTTTATCATATCACAGTTAACAGGTTTATCGACACTGTTTTTCGCTCGGGCGAGGTGAGATCGATACCGACTCGGTAGTTTTCTCTTTGAAAAGTATTTTCGAAATGCGAGGAGTCGCCACCAATCATTTAAGGTGTGATTGGGACACCGTAAAAACCGAGTGATTTTAATAAAACATTTGATTTTTATAAAAATACCAAGTTTCAAGGTCTACGAAAATCCAGAAATCGGGTTCGGGAGTCAGTTACGCGTGGGAAAGGATTAGCACCCCCACAAACGCCCAAAAATTGATACCTAGTTGGTTACCCTAAATTTAAAATCAAAAATTTTGAGTTCAAACGTTACTTAATTTAAAAATCATAACGGATGCAAATATAAAAAGGGTATTTGTTTATTAAAGCCGAGAGCATTCACCCCTAGCATAAATGCGAGAGATCAGCTATTGTACTCGATAACTGAATATTGCCTTGTTTTTAGAAAATCATGATGCGGTTTTGAAAAGAATGTCAACTTATTTCGGGAATAACTAGTAGTCACCCCCTTAGCATGATTGCGGGAAATATTCTATTAATTCCCTAATAAGTGAACATTGCCTAAGGGTTAAAACTTTAATGCGATCAACCAAATTTTATTTATCTTAATTAAACTAAAAGTAAATTAAGGCTTTTTCAAGCTTAAAGTGTCAAATTATGAAAGTTAAAGGACCTAGAAGCTCAAGCCTAAAATGTAGGTTATAATATTAACCCTATATGATTTTTTAATCAATTATTGAATCGAATAACCGATATGGTCCCTTGAGCATTTAGGCAAGGGCCAACTCAGATTACTCCCTAAATTAAAAGACTAGTTTGAGATCTAATCTAAAATGGAGGCTCTAATATTAATTTAAATTAATTTTAATCAATATTGCAATTCAAATAATTAAATTGAAACCTCGAACAAAAGCGATGACCAAATTAAGAATCCTCTTAATTTAATGACTAAATATGAATCAAATAATTAAAATATTATGGACTAAATCTAAAAAGGTGATCCATCAAGGACTAAATTAAAAGGATACAAATATTGAAGACAATTAAAATATATAAAAGTATTAAACTTAAAGTACTAAAACAAGAAGGGTAAAAATAGATAATAAAAAACAGTAAATAAAAGTAATAAAATTAAAGGACTAAAATTAAATAAATAAAATGTAAAGGGCATGAATTTAAATGTGTATAAAATTAAATAACAAAAATAAAAGAGCAATAAAAAAATGTTAGCATTAATTTTTTAATATTTAACATGCACCGTAAATAATGCGAGTCGTACCCCGGGGCAGGTCATCAAAAGGTCGTATGATATTTCGAACATAAAATAAATAAATAAGTAAATAAATAAATAAAAATTAGCAATTAGAAGTTAGGAAAGTTAGTTGTTAATAGAGTTCAGACCGTAATAATGCGGGTCGTACACCAGATCGGGTCACCGCAAGGTCAAATTAAATAATAACAATAAATAAATAAATAGAACAATGGTTAAAATGCAAGAAAATAAAAAAATGGTTAATTTGAAATAGAATAAAAAAATCAGTGACCAATTTCAAAATAAACAAAATCCAAAATGATGACCAAATTGAAATAAAATGCAATAAGATGTCAAAATCAAAATAAATGAATAAAACATGCACTTAATGACTAAAATATAAAAACAAGGCAAAGCTCTGAGGAACTATGAGTGATTAACCCATAAAATACTGACCTAAATACAAAGTAAGCCAAACAATAAGGACATGCACATGATTTACCCCTAAGAATGATGACCAAAACGTAAATATGCGCCTAAAGTATGGGGACCAAATAGCAATTTTCATTTTATTTAAGCCTAAAAAGTAATCTGTTAAATAAAAAGGCAAAATTACAGAATCTATCCACATATATTTAAAAAAATTAAATAGTCACTACACATGACTAAAATGCAAAAACACGGCTAACTTACAGGGACTAAAATGAAATTTCACCAAAATAAATAAAAATAGGCAAATAAAAGGGAAAATTACATATTTAAACTCGACGGACTAGAATGCAAAACACGCTAAAATAATAGGGACATAACATTAATAATCCAAAAATATAAAGCATGCACAACAGAAAGGTAAAATAGCAGTTTTGGTCCCTACAGGGACCAAACTACAAAAACACGACAAATGTTCGAGGGGCTAAACGCAATTAAACCCTTAATTTTCCCTATAAATACCAACAATCTATTTTTTATTTCATTTTTAGCTGAAACCCAAAGAAAAAAAAAATAACTTTAAACTCTCTTCCCTTCCCCAGGCCGACAGTAGGCCAACCACCATGAAACACCTCCTGTCGACGTAACACTAAAATTTCACCGATCACAAATCTAACTGCCCCGAGTCTAGCCTAAAGCTTAAAATCATATAAAACAACCCCAAACTACTCAAAATCAACCCTAGATCGGTCGACTACCCCGAATTCCGACAACCCTTCGTTAACTCAGGAATGATCAATTTATCCTCTTTTTTATTTTTTTATTTTGCTGTAAACCTGTACTAGGATCATTGGTATTAGATTAGGCTAGATTATATTCGAAAGAAAAAAAACTATCTTATTGTTATACGAAACATGCAAATAGTTTTTTTGAAAATCAGTGTGTACTTTTACTAAAACAACAAGTAAACTGGGTTTTATTCGAAAAAGAATTTTTTTTACTACTGGATTTGAAATTAACCAACAGAGAAAGAACACATAAAAAAGGGAGTAACCTTCGAAGTCTGTGTTATTGCTTGAGAACAGGATTTTACAGTATATTTTTTTGGAGGATTTTTCCCATCCCCTTTACAGATTTTTCTCTTGGGTTAAATACCCATCTTCAACTGAAAAATAAAATCATTGCTAATTTGTTTTCTTGTTTTGTAGTGGCTTGGAGTGTGCTGTTGGAGTGCTTGATGGTTTCCTCTTCGGTTGGGGCAGGAGCAGGTGGCTTCTGGTTGGGGGAGAGAAAGGTGAATGCTGATTGGGGGTATGTGGGCGACTACTAACTAGATTGGTGTAGACCTGGGTGAGCTCGGTTGGGTTTAGGGGTCTTATTTGGGTTAAGGTTTTAATTGATTTTGAGGTTTGGTTTAGGCTTGACTGGATTTGGGTTGGGTCTGTTTTTGGTTTTGGGGTTTTATTTTGGGTTTGGGGGCTTGAGGTCCGACCGGAAAAATGGTGATTACAAGGTTCAAGTAATCAATTTTTAACAGAAAATGAAAAATTTGAAATATATGAATTGTCGACTAACCATTTTGTAACTTGAACTCAACAAAGCATGACCTAAAGTCAATAGCAACCAACTATAGTCGGGAACCATTTATGTACTTTACTAAAAGCGCATCGAAAGTCATTTCTATCTAAAGTTTCTAGATTGAATTCTTGAACGAGGACTAGGGAATTGAAGAATAATAATGGTTACAGCTTAGTTTTTGCATTCCCAAGCTTTGATAAATTTGAATTTAAAACTTCCAAGAGGAACACAAGCACGCAGCCAATTGCAGCAATTGAAGCTTAAAAAGGAAAGAACTATAACGTCGATAGGACATAGATACAATACACAATAAAAAGAAAAGGAATCACCTTGAGAGAGGCAGCTCCAACAGGATGAATCGAGGGCGATGATTGATTGTAGCCGAGCAAATGCGATGGTATTGTGGAGCGGCATCATGAATTCTAATCCTCCCAACGCCGACACAATCCTTTAAAGTGAAAAATGAAGTTGATAATTTGACAACGTATTTAGATGGGAAAACGAAAGATGAAAACAAAAATAATAGGAAGTGTCATACCCATTTTTTTTGAAAAAAACAATGAAATATTATTTTAAAAAACAACTATGACTTTAATTTGAAAAATTGGGTGATTTGGAATTGATTTGCATAAAATGGAAAAAGAGTCGCCATCGACCTTTGGGTTAGGTAGGTCGAATACCTAAAAAATATCTTTTAAAACAATTTTAAGAAAAATCATTTTATAAGACAAAATTTTGGTCTGTGTTTATCAAAAAATTTGATTTTAAGGGTCTGGGAGTCGATTACGCTTGGAGAAGGGTAAACACCCATACAACACCCAAAATTGGTACTATGTCGCTTACACTTTGTCTTAGCAGTGGAATTTATGAATCGAATATAAAGTTAAAATATGATCCATTAATTAAATTTCTTCGAATTGTTTATCAGAGAAAATTCTTTAACTTGAAAAGAAATCTCGAGATTAGCAATCCTCCGTCGGGAAAGCTAATTCGTCTATTTCTTATCTTAAAAGAATATTCTCTCCTCATTTATTGAAAAACGCGAATCGAATATAAATGTAGAATCGACATTTGCGTATAATAAAATACATTGCCATTTATAGAAACATGACTTGCATTGTTTAATGTAAAATAAAAATGAATTAACAATTAACAAAACTAAAATTGATTTATTTCAAGTTCTATTTAGTTCGAACGTCATATTAGATTGTACCACTTCGATCAAGTGATACTTTTCACGCCTGTTCCACGAATACGTGCTCTTAAAATATTCGAATAATGTTTAAATAAAGAAATACAATGGAAATAAATTCAAATAAAAATATACAAAATAAAATATTTAAAACAAATAAAGTTAAGCATATTTATTTACATCTGATACCAATGAATACATAACATAACAATATGTACATACATAAGGAATTGAAATATAACAATAAAAAATTTAAAAGACCAAAATAGGATTAACAGAAACTTGAGGACAAAAATAGAAAAAAATAAAAACTTAAGGGACTAAAATAGCAAAATAGAAACTTAAGGGACTAAAAAACAAAAATTGAAATATAAGGGACTAAAATAATGAATACATACATTTAAAGGACTAAAATAGATAAAATAGATACTTAAGGGACTAAAATAGAAAATGCATACATTTAAAGGACTAAAATAGAAAAAACAAAAATTTAGAGGACTAAAATAGCAACAACAAAAACGTAAAGGACTAAAATAATACAAACATGAATTAAAGGTCCAAAATAAAAAAAATAGAAACTTAAGGGACTAAAATAGTAAAAATAGACATTTAAAGGATTAAACAAAAAATAAAATAAACTAGGTTCCCAAAATCAAAAATACTAAATAATACAGGTACTAGAAATGAAAATAACCCCTAAATAATATTTAGGACTAAAACAAAATAACCAGAAACATAAAGGATCAAACAATAATTAAACCAAATACCAAGCAGTGAGTAAAGTAAAATATTTATTAATGACATGGCCCAAATTCGAATATCCACCAAAATACATAACATACAAAAATCAGTGACCAAAATACAACTATTACAAATACTGTGATCAAAGTCAAATATTAACAAGAACACACAATATAATAATAACAGGACCAAAACATAAATAATGAAATGTGAGTGCTCAAAATCAAAAAAAGTGAAACTTTATTAGATGGCTAAAAAATGATATTACAAAGCAAGAGGGACCTAAAGTGTAGTTACCCCACACGCTGAAAATACGTAGAAGGCCCTCACTGAAATGGCGCCGTTTCACTCCACACATATATATCACATTCAAACGTCAAAATGGCCTAAGCTTCTCATTTGCCTTCATTTGAGACGAGAGAAGAGAGAAAGAGTAAGAAAATAAGACACCATCCGTATAGGCTGTCGTTGATCGGCAATGACCACCGACGCCAGAAGAGAGAAAATAAGACACCATCTGACGCCTTTTTCACCCTGGTTACAGATCTAGGCTTCATTTAGCCAAAGCGGGTCCCTAAGAGGGTAGATCTACAAAAGAACCCTCGATTCTTTCGGCTCCAACGACCTTTGGAGTCTCCGAAGAGCCATCGAGGGTAAGTATTTTCCTTTCTCCTATTTTTTTGTTTGCCCCGAATCCCCTCTTTCTTTCTTTTCCTCTTTCTCCTTTTTATCCTTGATGCGTGTGATAGATTGGTGATTGATATCCTGATTCTCCTCGGGATATCTCTTGTACTTGCCTAATTTTAGTTTTATTTTTCTCTGGCTTGGATATGATTTTTTTGCTTTTTGTCACTGTATTGGTCACTGTGAATGATGGATGAACTCGAGAGGGTTTGATAGTGGTTCGAGAAATCATCGACGGTGACTTACGCTGCTGGAAATGAGAGCGGTGACATCCACGCACCAGTTGGCTGGTCGGCAGCAGCGACTGCTGATGTCCATTAGTGTAAAAAACTAATGGCCACTTATCTGGATCGTTGAATGGGTCTAGATCGTGTTGTTAAGGGAGATGCGGTGCCTGGAACATGAAGGGAACCCTAGCTGGTTCGGGTCATCCGAGTTGGATTGAGTCTTGGGTCGGATCCTGGTTTGGATTGTAACCTGTTGGATCTGGGTAGGTTCGGGTCTTCGGGTCTGGGCTCCAACTGGTTCTTGTAGCTGGGTCTTGGGGACTTGTAATTTGTGCTGCAAAATTAAGCCTGCAAAATGTAATTAAATTTGATTAATAATAATAATAATAATAATATAATTAATATTTTTAGTAGACCCGGACAAAAACGGGTGTCTACAGCTGCCCCTCTTTGTATATTCTTGTGTTAACAAGAATAGGGAAAAGACGAAAAAGACAACCAATTTTTGTCCGGTTCTCTTTTTTGGTTTAAAATTTGATGTGTTTGGTTGGTGGGGAGGACATTGCTCATACGTGATGAAGAGGTCTGGTTGTCTAAGGGTGACACGCTTCCTACGTGATGAGGAGATCTGGTCGGTGGATGACACGACTCATACGTGATGAAGAGTTCTGGCCATCTTTAGGAAGGGTGATAACACTGTTCCTACGCGATGAGGACGACTGGTTATCTAGGGGGTAACATGGCTCCTACGTGATGATGAGATCTGGTCAGGGGATGACACGATTCCTACGTGATGAGGACGATATGCCATCTTTAGGAATGATAACATGGTTCCTACGTGATGAGGACGACAGGTTATCTAGGGGTGCCACGACTCCTACATGATGAGGAGGTCTGGTCGGGGGATGACACGATTCCTACGTGATGAAGATGACATAAAATCTTTAGGGATTTTGGTTTCAAGAGAAACTGACTCAAAGTGATTTTTCCAAAGAAAATGTCTCAAGAGAGACAAAATTCATTTCAAGGGAAACGCTATCAAAGATGGGTGTTTTGTTTCAAAGGAAACATATTCAAAGATTGTTTTCTCAAAAGAAATTATCTCAAGAGAGACAAAACTTTGTTTCCAGAGAAACATACTCAAAGATTTTTTTCTCAAAACAAATTGTCTCAAGAGAAAAAATTTGTTTTCAAAGAAACAGACTCAAAGATGGGTTATGTCTTAAGTGAGACGAAATTTGTTTTGAGAGAAAACTGTCTCAAGCGAGACAACATTTTGTTTCGAGAGAAACAACATCAATGGATACTGATAGTCTATTTGTTCCTGCTGGTGGAGGAAAGGCCTTCAGAAGATCTGATCGTTCCCCTCAGGATGTTAAATCCCCAAAGATGCCCCAATATTCGATGTTGATTGCTTCAGCACTGATTCTAAGCATGACCTTCGAGTCTGAGAGCCACATGTCAACTACCAAAATCCACTCCACAGAGATTGTCTTCTTTTAAAAAAGTTTTTCTTCCTCTTTTATTTTCAAGAGTCTGAAAATATCAATTAAAAGAGTTTTAAAAAATGTTTAATCAAAAGTTTGAAAATATTGCCCCTTTCGAGCTTTCACAATTTACAAATCATAAATAAGAGTTAATTGGATATCAAAGAATTAATTACACTTTTAATTCTTCAATAAATTATAGTTATTTGACAAGTGTCAAGATTATTGCTATCTTTGAGAAATGGTCAAGTAACGAAAGGATAAAATGTCTCAAGTTATTATTTTTGGTCAATGGTTTGGTATTCTCATTTATTTGTTGTTCACTGATCTGATGGAGTAGCCTCTGTACTCATTTACTGGAAGTGTTTTCAGTCTCCCAGCTCTCATATTCTCATTCTTGTTGTGGATGCCTTATCAAGGGATTTGTGCAATCGCCTTTTATGCAATAGCTGCACCATCTTCATACTCAAGCCACCTTTTTAGGTTTTCAACTCAAATCCTCCTTTGGTTTCAAGACGTTATTCATAGTTTACATCTTGAACCCCCCTTTGTTATTTTTTCTCTATCATGAGTTAAAGATTTTAGAAAACCTTTTTGTAAATAAAAAGATTAATCATGATGGGTGGGATGAAATATGAAGATAGTATATTCTGTTTAGAAATCCATGTATTATTAGAAGGGACTTTTAAGGCACGTAATGTAGGTCATGGTTCACGATTATGAAAGAAAGGGATAAAAGGCCCAAAAAAATGTTTAAGGGTGATTGAACCAAGGATCAATTCATTCTGATGCCTTCGATCTTGTCTCGCTCAATTTGGATATGCTCGTATGCGTCCTTTATGATCTTCTCTGGATGCTTTATGAACTTCTGATGAAGTGATTCTGGAATGATTGTGCTTGATCAATCTCATGGTTTGAAGCTCGTTACGTCATTTGAGTCAAGGGTCTCATTGAATGTGCTTATTGTCTTCTTTTCTCTTTGTTTTTTCTTTTGTATTTTACTTTGTTTTCTTTGTTTTTTCTCTTCTTTGATTTGATTTTTGCACTATGTATTCAGTTCACCTTTTGGTATCTCATCTAAATCAATGTCTTCCCTCATGTGAGTAGATTTCCTCCA